CAAACATAATCTTCCACGAGAAGCAACAAGTGTAATTAATACGTAAAAAGTATCACCTTCTGTTCATTTTGTTTTTTTCATTTTTATCTCCTAATGGAGTTGTTTTTAGTAATCTAAAAACAACTTTAGACAACAAAGATTTACGAGTATTATCAATCAATGGTTCTTTCAAATTGACAGTGACAGGCCGTGACGCGAGGTTCGTATGCAAAGAAGTGACGTCATGGGACGTTTTGGGGGGAAATGAAAGAGTTGTTTTTATTTACGTGTTTTTTTATTGAAATAATGAGTATTATATTTTATACTATTTTTTTTCGTGTTCATACATGGTTTATCTACAAAATAAAGGCTATTCCAAAAATTAGGAAACATCCCCATTGCTGACATCTTAGGCAACAAAGAAGAGTGTTTAAGCTTTATTATAATAGTATAGTATAGGAGTATAGATAAAAATCCAAAAATACAAATCTTTCCTCTTTATAAAATTAGTTTCTTCAAAGACGAAGTCAAGGGCAAAATAGCAATAAAACACAAAAAGTTCAAAATCTTTATTTCAACACAAATAACCTTGAAATTTTTTAATTTTTTTATTTACTTTTTATTTATATAACAAATCAATGTGTATTTCTTCTATACCAGAATCTTGCTCTGTAATCGTCGCTGCAAGTTAGAAACGCCGGAGCAGTTCCAGAATGTACTATATACCTGGAAATAAAATTAAAAAAAAATAAAAACAAGACACGCAATAAAAACATGGTAACTCTATCTATCTCTTTCTAACTTGTACAATTTATTGTCTATCTCTTTCTAACTTGTACAATTTATTATCTGTTTCTTTCTATCTTGTACAATTTATTATCTATCTCTATCCAACTTTTACAATTTGTTGTCTATCTCTTTCTATCTTGCACAATTTATTATCTGTCTCTTTCTATCTTGTACAATTTATTATCTGTCTCTTTCTAACTTGTACAATTTATTGTCTATCTCTTTCTAACTTGTACAATTTATTATCTGTCTCTTTCTAACATGTACAATTTATTATCTGTCTCTTTCTAACTTGTACAATTTATTATCTGTCTCTTTCTAACTTGTACAATTTATTATCTGTCTCTCTCTAACTTGTACAATTTATTATCTGTCTCTTTCTAACTTGTACAATTTATTATCTGTCTCTTTCTAACTTGTACAATTTATTATCTGTCTCTTTCTAACATGTATAATTTATTATCTGTCTCTTTCTAACTTGTACAATTTATTATCTGTCTCTTTCTATCTTGTACAATTTATTGTCTATTAGTGTGCTTTGGCTTAAGGCCAATTTTAAAGTATTTGCAGTTTGTCGTTTTTGGTACGTTAGTGTATAATAATTTTGCGGTTTAATGCGATTTTTTTGATTACATCAAGCTGCACAGGTTAATAATAAATCGCTGTACATATTAAGAAAAAAATATCTATGTAAAAAAATTCAAACACATATGTTCGCGATAATCTCCAAAACGGCTGGACCTATTTCTACGGGACTTTCACACGAAGGTAGCTAACATATATGGGAATGTTATAGGGTGGTTTTTTACATTACCTGACAGCACCGTTGTGTCCCAGAGACATTAAATTACATCTATTAGCGGACCGTGAGTGCCAAGTGCATAACGACGTCGTGGCCTCATCGGGGAACATCACATAGTCCTCAGTATGGTTCATTATGGCCTGGGCCTGATGTTCCTGTTTACCTGTAAGGGCCAAAAAACATATATATATAAATACATACTAGCTTTAGCCCGCGACTTTGTCCGCGTGGAATTTTAAAAAAAATCCCTATGTGTTCTAGAATTTTCTCTACATCTATACGTAATTTCCTAGAAATCCGTTTAGCCGTTTAGGCTACAAACTCTAAAAAAACATCCATCCATCCAAACTTTCTAAAGAGGAAAGATTTATATTTTTGTATGTATTGAAAAAACTCAAAAACTACTGGGACAATTATAAAATTCTTTCACAATTAAAAAGCTACATTATCAGCCAGTAACATAGGCTATACTTTTAATTATTTTTAAATTCCACGCTAACGAAGTCGCGAGCAACAACTAGTATTATTATAAAGTGGATTTTTTTGTATTTATGTATTCGATTCACATAACTACCCCAATTTAAATAATTCTTTCACCGTTAGAAAGGTAGCTTTTCTGCGAGTTACATAGGCTACATTTTTTTATTTCCTTACCCGTGGTGCCAGCGCCAGTGTACTGTATCAGACACCTGCTGCTGGCCAGCTCCCACAGCTTGATGGAGGAGTCCAGTCCAGCAGTCAACAGGTACTGGAATACACAATTGTAGACATATGTAAAGATTTTGTGCAACAAGGTGTTAAAAAGGGGTTTATTAGTGTGCCATGAATACGCAAGGAGGCGTATAAGCGGATGTGTCATTACTCTCCCAAAGGTTTGCGACGAGTATTACCAGGTGTGTCATTATTTTTCCATAAGTTTCCAACGAGGTGTATTAGCAGGTGTGTCATTAGTGTTATGAATATGCAAGGAGGCGTATTAGCAGGTGTGTCATTATTGTTCCATAAGCTTGCAACGAGGTGTATTAGCATGTGTGTCATTAGTGTTATGAATATGCAAGGAGGCGTATTAGCAGTTGTGTCATTAGTGTCACGAATTTGCAAGGAAGCGTATTAGCAGATGTGTCATTACTGTTCCATAAGTTTGCAAGGAGGTGTCTTAGCATGTGTGTCATTAGTTTCACGAATATGCAAGGAGGTGTAATAGCAGGTATGTCATTAGTGTCAAGAATTTTTGCAAGGAGACGTATTAGCAGGTGTGTCATTAATGTCACGAATATGCAAGGTGTATTAGCAGGTGTGTCATCAGTGTCACGAATATGCAAGGAGGCGTATTAGCAGGTGCGTCATATTGTTCCACAAGTTTGCAACGGGGTATATTAGCAGGTGTGTCCTTAGTGTTATGAATATGCAAGGTGTATTAGCAGGTGTGTCATCAGTGTCACGAATATGTAAGGAGGTGTATTAGCAGTTGTGTCATTAGTGTCACGAATTTGCAAGGAGGCGTATTAGCAGGTGTGTCATTACTGTTCCATAAGTTTGCAACGAGGTGTATTAGCATGTGTGTCATTAGTGTGTCACGAGTTTGCAACGAGGTGTATTAGCATGTGTTATTAGTGTGTCACGAGTTTGCAACGAGGTGTATTAGCATGTGTGTCATTAGTGTGTCACGAGTTTGCAACGAGGTGTATTAGCATGTGTGTCATTAGTGTGTCACGAGTTCGCAACGAGGTGTATTAGAAGGTGTGTCCTTAGTGTTATGAATATGCAAGGTGTATTCGCAGGTGTGTCATCAGAGTCACGAATATGTAAGGAGGCGTATTAGCAGGTGTGTCATCAGTGTCACGAATATGTAAGGAGGCGTATTAGCAGGTGTGTCATTAGTGTCACGAATATGCAACGAGGTGTATTAGCAGGTGTGTCATTAGTGTCACGAATATGCAAGGAGGCGTATTAGCAGGTGTGTCATATTGTTCCACAAGTTTGCAACAAGGTGTGGCATGTGTGTAATAAGTGTGTCAACCTTGCTGTTCCTGGTGAATGCGACAGAGCAGACTTCAGCGCCGTCGTGTGCGGCGAGGAACGTATTAAAGCACCTGTTGGAGACGGTGTCCCATAACTTTACTGTCCCATCAGCACTACCGCTAGCAAAGTATTTACCGTTAGGGGAAAATCTGAAATAAATGCGATATATAAGTTAGACGACTGAACACTGGTCAAAGGACAACTGAAAAATATACAACAAGTGGTTATGACCTCCTATCATATATCTTCGAATAAGGGTCATCGCACATTCACCCAGATGCCACTACCGTTTTGTTTTTTTTTTCCGAACCAATTTTATTTAAGTTAGATAAAAATAATTTATTTTTTTATGGTTTGTAACTAGTTGTCATAGAGGAATATTGCTTTTCACTTTCGTGACCGATAGGGTGTACACTTTTTTCCGGGCTATGGGGAAAGTTCCCGGTATAGGGAAATATAATGATATAAAATTTAGCAAAACGTTATGTATTTCCCGCCTGCACGAAGATATAAAGTAAAAGTTCACCTCCGAGACGATTTAGGGGTGTCAATTGTGTACATTAGTAAATTGAACCGAGAAGTTGAATAAGCGTTAACCTTTATTCAGTCTTCAAACACAAATGACAAAGACTCATACTAATATTATAAATGCGAAAGTTTAGATGGATGTTTGTTAGAGTTTGTAGACTAAACTGCTGAACGGATTTCGATGAAATTTGGTATAGATGTACAGTCTGGAAGAACACATAGACTACTTACTTTTGTTTTTTTTAATTCAACGCGGACTGAGTCACGGGCGAAAGCTAGTAAAATTATAAAACATCAATAAAAACGTCAAAAAACATGCAGTCGCAGAAGCGTTTCTAACACAATACATTCTAAAAACAACTCTAAACATATAACACTAAGATTAAATTCGCTTTAATTCACTTACTTGATAGAATTGACCTGTTTCTTGTGATGATGCGAGGGTATGGGGCAGACGAAGCACTGGCTGGTGGTGACGTCATACAGACGTATCACCGGGTGCGTGGTAGAAGCTATCACGTGGTCTCCTAGAGGATGGAAGGATACGCATAGCACCTGCTCCGCGTCCTGGAATATAGATGGCGCTGTTTTAAATATTTGAAAAATACAATAGATGGCGCTGTTTTAAATATTTGAAAAATACAATAGATGGCGCTGTTACTAAAATGTAAAGATTCAGATAAATGGCGCTGTTATTAGACTTTTTAATTCCGATAGATGGCGCCCTTGCAAAAAATTGGAATATATTTGAAGATAATTTCGCCATTTTAATAAGATTGCCCATAAATAAACGGAAAGATACGAATTTCATTTTATGAAATGCATAAAGGTAGTTTAAAAAGAAAACCGTTATTGAATTTCGACCAATAAGCGACCAATATATACTAATTATTATTAAGAGGAAAGATTTGGATTTTTTATGTATTGAAATAACTTAAAAACTACTTGGCCGGTTTCGAAAATTCTTTCACCATTAAAAAGCTATGTTATCGCTGATATAGGCTATATTTTTAAATTTAATAACCAAAATCGCGAGCAACAGCTAGTACAATAAAAATACATAAAAACGTACTCACCGTGATAGATTTATAAGCTTTCTTTGCGGATGCCTTCGTTATATCGAAGAGTTTGATGCAGCAGTCCCTGGAGGCTGACACCAGGATCTGCTCCCGAGGGTGGAAGTCCAGGGCTGTGATCTCGTCCGTGTGGTCGTATCTAGGACAAAAAAAAACAGATTATAGGAATACACATGCTAGTAAAATTACCTAGTAACTGGCAAACCAGCTACTGGCAATGCGTTTACACTTGCCAGCTATTGGCAATGCGTTTACACATGTCAGCTACTGGCAATGCGTTTACACATGCCAGCTATTGGCAATGCGTTTACACATGTCAGCTACTGGCAATGGGTATACACATGTCAGCTACTGGCAATGCGTTTACACATGTCAGCTACTGGCAATGCGTATACACATGTCAGCTACTGGCAATGCGTTTACACATGTCAGCTACTGGCAATGCGTATACACATGTCAGCTACTGGCAATGGGTTTACACATGTCAGCTACTGGCAATGCATTTACACATGTCAGCTACTGGCAATGCGTTTACACATTTCAGCTACTGGCAATGCGTTTACACATTTCAGCTACTGACAATGCGTTTACATATGTCAGCTACTGACAATGCGTTTACACATTTCAGCTACTGACAATGCGTTTACACATTTCAGCTACTGGCAATGCATTTACACAAGTCAGTTACTGGCAATGCGTTTACACACGATGAATGACGGACTCACAGTGTTCTGATGACGGGATGACCTTGCTGCTCACGACCAGGGTCCACTTCCTCAGGAGCTGATTTAGCTAACATCCTTTCTACATCCAGTATCTGAAATTATCACATTTTTCGCATATCTATATTTATGATAATATTAGAAATATTTGTATTTTTATGTATTGAAGTAACTCAAAAACTACTGGGTCGATTTTAAAAATTCTTTCATCATTCAAAAGCTACATTTTCACTGAGTAAAATAGGCTATCTTACTAATATTATCAATGCGAATATTTAGATAGATGTATGGATAGATTGACGGATGGATAGAATGACGGATGGATAGATTGACGGATGGGTTGATGGATAGACGGATGGATGGATGAATAGACGGATGGATGGATAGAGTGACGGATGGATAGATTGATGGATGGATAGATGGACTGACGGATGGATAGATTGACGGATGGATGTTAGAGTTTGTAGTCTAAATGACTGAACGAATCTCTAAAACACAAAGGCTCATTTTTTCTCATTTTTTCGAACCACGGAAGTTAGTATCTTATAATATGCGGTTGAAGTGACCAGCAATTTGTTAATTGAACGTCTGTCAGATTGTAACCTTGATGCTGGCGTCCACGCTGCCGGTGGCGACGAGCTGTCCGCAGGCGCTGAAGGCTCCAGCGCGGCACGCCATCTTGTGTGACGTCACGTACGCCGTCTCGTACGTCGCCGGCTCCGGGGCCAGCGAGGACGCGTCCATCTCGTACTCTAAATCTATACAAGGTGGTCCGGACAATCAAAAAACATAGAGGATGCAGGTTATATATATATATATATATACTAGCTGTTCCCGTGCGACTTCAATTAAATTATGAAAATTTTATTTTGTTGTTTACATTTGTCAAATTATCAATAGCAAATGTCAAACTGACAAACCTTGGCAATCTTGCTTCCTTGACGTTGGCACCAACTTATGGTCTCTTTCCCACATTAGGGTTTTTATACAAAATCATTACCCCTAAGTTTAATGACGTGAAAATATATAGCCTAAAGCGTGATCTAAGTGTAGGGCTTTTTATTAAAAAAAAAATTATTCATAAACATGCTGTAATTGCTGATATCTTAGGCAACAAAGAAGTGTGTGTTTATGCTTTATTATAATAGTATAGATATATATATATATATATACAGTAGTACTTCGATAACTTAAAAAAATAATAGGAAGGGAACACTTCCTATCAGAGCCCAAACTCTCTACAACAAAGACCCTTGATAACTTAAAATATTTTGTGTTTCCTTTGGACTTTAACTTATCGAGGTTTTACTGTACAAGCCGTTCCCGTGCTACTTCATTCCCATACAATTTTAAGTTTTATTTTATTATTTACATGTGTCAAATAATTGCAAATGTCAAAATACCAATTACCTTACTATGGCAATTTTGCTTCCTTGATGTTGGCAGCAACTTATGGCTCTTTCCCACATTAGGGTTTTTATCCATAATATTTACCTCCTAAGTTTAATGACGTGAAAATATATAGCCTAAAGCGTGACGTAAGTGTAGGGCTTTTCAGCGAAGTGACCGCTGCCCATACTTCCACAATTGCAGATGCGTTGCCTACACTTAATCGACGGAGACACACATAAAAAGTATATTTCTCCTTCCTAAAGATCTCTACCGTCAAATCTAATTTTCCTTCTCATCCTTTCATCTCAAAAAAGGGGTTGAAAAGGAAAGGGACCAAAATTCGGCCCCCGGCACCACACTATCAGATGAAACTTGGAATTGCTTAAACTTCACGCCTGTCTTCTGTGTGGTCGTGGTATTGCTGATGCTGACCCTACAGTTTGAAGGTTAAAGTGTGCACTACCACTGTTAAACTAAGTAATATTTATGATTTTCTTTGTAAATTTACCAAATCCAGTTGTCCCTAACAGATGTTCCGCCCCACTGGAGGCTGCAAGCCTATCCTTCCTGTCAGGCTCATGCTGAAGACCCACCATCATCACATTTAGCAGCCTGTGACACAGAAGCATTAATATTATTTTTTCTTCTATACTAATATTATAAAGAGCATCATTGGTTCAGTGGTTTGAACACTTGACTTGTAATACAGGTCTTGGGTTCGAATCCCGCCATGTACCAATGTGATTTTCGATTTTTCATATGTACATAATTTACCCGACGTTCTTACGGTGAAGGAAAACATCGTGATGCAAATATCGGCGAAGAAATTCAAAGATATGTATGAAGTCAACCAACCCGCAATGCAGCGTGGTTGACTATGGCCTAGTCACCCCATATTAGGGTAGACTCTGAGCCTCTCGGTGGGGACGTATAGTGAGCTGGTGATGTATAATATTATAAAGAGGAAAGATTTGTATTTTTGTATATATTGAAATAATCCAAAAACTATGGGGCTGAATCCAAAATTTCTTACACCATTGGAAAACTATTACCAGTAACATAGGCTACATTTTGTACTATTTTTTTTTAATTATATTGTTGGGTGAAAGGTTATTTGTTAAGCGCCATTAGGTAAAATGTTCACAAGAGCCATTTAAAGTCTTCATTTAAAAAAAAAACGGTTCTAGATTAAAATTACTATATTTCTGCATACTTCATTCTTTATTTTATATTTAATTTTTTTTTTTATAACATAAGGTGGCAAATGAGCAAGCGGCCACCTGGAGCCGCCAAAATGGCGAAGCGACCGCTGCCCATAGACATCCACGATCGCAGATGCATTGCCTACCCTTATCCAACAGAGGAAGAGACATAAAGAGGATATGGCCCCTTCCTAAGCAACTCCTCCACCATCAAATCCACTTCCCCTTCCCATCCTCTCCTTATAAGAAAAGGGTGGTAAAGAAAAAGGGACTTAAATTAGGCCTCCGGGTAATTTAAGTCCCTTTCTCTTTACCACGCTTTACGAAATTCTGAATATATGAGTTAATATAGTATAAAATGGCGCTTAAAACAAATACCCTTTCACCCGTCAATATGTGGACAAGGTTCCGAAGCAACAGGTTTTATTTAATAACACACTACTTGTAAACGTAGCTACCAAATACCCTTATGCTTCAGTTCACTATACATTCCTAATGAGGCTCGGAATCATAAGTACATACCTATCACTTGGAGGACAGGGAGGATCAGCATGAACCGCAGTGGTCAAACTTGTGGCTATCGCTTGAAATCCATCATAGTATAGCTGACTGAAAATATACATAAGAAAATTGTCAAGGGTATATTCAAAAATAGGTGATACATATGAATGTATACTAAATATTATACAGAGGAAAGATTTGTATTTTTGTATGTATTGAAATAACTCAAAATTGGGCCGATTTCAATCTTTCACTATTAAAATGCCATGTTAGCAATAGATAGAGAATAGAATGATGTAGAATCAAGATAGGTGTTTCAGAATCTATTCTGAAACACCTATCTTGATTTGGCTTTAGCCAAATAGAGGTCTGTGGTCTCTGTCTACACCTCTGGGTTATAGCTGTCAGTAATGTTGTATATATGAAAATACTATTTTATTAGCACAATGAAATTTTAGGTTACTAAAAATTTACTGTTAAGCTTCTAAAATAATTATTTATCTTAATTTACATATGAAATTTATGAAGTAAAATAGAAATATCATGTTTAAAATTTTCGACAGCATTATTGACTTATCTATATTTTGAATGGCTTTTAAAATCGAAATAACATAGATTACATTAACATAAGAATATTGTATTAAAATTAAGATTTGTATCATTTTATTGTCAACAAAATTAAAAATACCGTTTGATAATATCGAGAACATCTTTTCATACCTTATTATCATTCGATAGAGGAGTTCTCTATTTTTCACCACATTTCTGGTATCCACTTCACCGCTGTTTTCCTTCATTATAATACCAAGGGAGTTCTAGAAAGAAAACTTTTTGAAGCAAAATATTCTAAAACTGCAAAATAAAACGCCGCTCAAATCAAGCAAGTTTGACAATCTTGACATTGACATTTACGAAAACAAAACATTCCGCAGATTAAATATAAAAAGTACAAACGCAGATTAAATTTGAAATCTTGCATGGCTAGGCCGTTTTCTGATGTTGCCAATCGAAGTTTAAGAAAATAAACAACCTTTTGTACTGTTTTTTTTTTTTATTTTAGAAAGAAATTAAATTGCATCAATTTACAATTGACAATCATCGACGACTTCGACATCGACAAGGATTTTGGAAAATACCTTTATTTACACAGTGATTTGAAAATTAATTGATGTTTCTAAACATTTCCGCCAAAGTTAAATTTCTCCATAGAAACTTTCACTCCGACTTTAGACGTTTAGAGATAAATTTCATTATAGTATTTCTTAGTTTTTACATAACAGAAATTTTTGCACAAACTTTCAATTCAGTACTGTAAATAGAGATATTAAATTAGTTTATATCTGGATCATAACAGATTTTTTTAACTGAAAGTCTCAAAATAACAAATAACCAATTATCTGTCTTTACATTTTTGTTAACGTTTCTTATCATTCCTTTTTTTTTATAACATAAGGTGGCAAACGAGCAAGCGGCCACCTAAAACCGCCGAAATGGCGAAGCGACCGCTGCCCATAGACATCCGCAATTGCAGAAGCGTTGCCTACCCTTATACGACGGAGGAGGAGACGCACATAAAGAGGTTATTTCCCCTTCCTTTGCATCTCCTCCATCGTCAAATCGACTTCCTATTCCCAACCTCTCCTTATAAGAAAAGGGTGGTAAAGAGAAAGGGACTTTCTCTTTTAGGGAATTTAGGGAATTAGGCCTCCGGCACCACACTCATTAGACGAAACACGAAATTGCTTTCATTTCACGCGTGTCTTCTGTGTGGTCGTGGTATTACACCGGGCGCGCCGGCCCATTTGAGCTAAGATGTTAAAGCGGGCACTACCACTGTTAGACTCCTTAGTTACAATGTTCTGTGAAAGTTCATGATATGTTAGATATTACGATACAAATGACTTCCTTTGAAATATGGATTGACGGCCATACTAACAATACTTGTAAATTAATTTAAAACACACAAACTGAACTCCAATGCGACAATGCAAATATAACAAACGTTCCATGGTGACTAGAAAAACACTGAGCTTGTTGGCGATGGCGACTGAGAGCCTGAGCTAGCTTGGATAGTACACGTACGATGTACTAAAAAATAATGTTACTCGGCACTGTACTAAAAGTAACGTTACCAAACGGCTTCTGTTAATCGGACATTCGGCACTTTTAGTACAGTACACGACATCGGTGTTCGCTTCTTCGTTGTTTGATTTGATTGTATATTTGCTAGATTGAAGCATCCACCTTCGGTAATAAGAATCAAAAGTGGATAAAATTATTTATAACGAATTTTATTTTCACTAATAACATATATAAAGAATGCTTAAAATTTGATGTGAAGTAATCTATAACCTTCGTTATATTCTATTCATGATGTGTTCTCAAAAATCTTAAGTACTAAAGGTACTAAAAGTGTGTACTAGTACGTTTTCCTTGTACTAGGGTGCATACTTGCAGTTGTCGGATTAAGCCTAAGACTAGCCTTAGCGTTGAGACTGCGACTGAGCGCCCGAGCCACTCCTTGCCATGTATTCTAGAAAACTACCGCCCACTATTCCCTCCGTTTCCTATCTTCCTAACATTATTGTTTTTTTTAAATAACAATAAATAATATTGATAAATATGTAGGCTTACTCTATGCTCATGGCGAACACCGAGCACTGGTAGGGCGGCCATTTTGTCATTCGAGTCAGTTCGATTTGAGTCGATACAGAGTGCTTACGCGACTATGTGTTCGGTGGACGTCAATTCAATATCTTAATCGAAACATATCGTTACGATCTATAATTATTTAGTGGAAATATGAATTGTGATATTGAGGATTACGACTACACCAATTATCAAGACAACTATTTTGTTGAAATACCTAAGTACCACGCCTACAAGAAAATGTCATAAATCACCCAATATTACCTGATGTTAGTCGAAAGACTTCAAATAGATAAAATGACTTTTTAAGAATACAGAATATATCAAAATAGTTAAAAAGTATTAGCTTTTAACTAGCAATTAGGAAAAAAAATATCCTGAAATTGTGTATAAATAACAATCTTATAATTCACAATTTATTATGTAAACATTTCTACTGATTAACATTATCGTAATTTAACAACAAAAATTATTAAATTAAAAGTGATCTTCATTTCCCAGTTGCCAGTATAGAATTACCAAAAAAACATGGAAAAACTACCAACACATTTTATATCATGCAGCCACCGGCTGTCTAATCCACGACATATTATGACACCGTCTGGTGGTGATAACAATCCACAATTGCGAAGCGTGAAAAACTGTTGACTTTTTTATTGACACATGTTATCTCTGTTTTTTTAAAGCTATTGACAGTGACGACAATAGTCAATACGAGTGCTTCGACATATAATGTCGAAAATATAAATACAATCATTTGAAAATCCAAGGAACAAAAACCAATTATTGAATTACAAAGGAAAATACAAGCTTCAGTTTTCACGTTCGATATGTGAAAATATTACAAACTGATACGATTTTACCTTCTTCAAGAAAGCGTATATTTATTTTTTCAAGTTCGTTAAAAAATACACGACCTCTGTTGTGAATCCATCGATCACATGTTACCATAAAATTAAAAAAATCAAAACATTTAGTTCATAGACTTACGATCTTTCTAGAAGTGAGTTATTTCTTTCTTAATAGACCAAAAAATGTCCATGCGTGTCTATGATCACTTCTCTTATAAAACAAAAGCCAAATTAATTTACATAAAACCGTACCGTGACCGTAAAACCATGATTTTAATTAAATGTATCCAGCGAGCATTAGTAAAATCTGGAACAAACGCATAATTTACGCAACGCAGTTGTGTTGTGTGGCATAACCTAATATTCACTCTTCACGTAGTTACGTTTTAATTAACTAGGTTGACCCCTAAGGTCTTCAGGGCCAGGGGTCACGGTAGCGATTACCTATTTACACTTATTTTAAGATTTATCTTTATGTATTTGATAACGTACTAATTGGATTCGACAAATAATATTGTATACCAATTAAGAAACTTTTTAAATGTCACACCTAAACTTTTAGGTTATAATTCAATCTATACTATTATAATAAAGCATAAACACACACTTCTTTGTTGCCTAAGGCGTCAGCAATTACAGCATATTTTTGAATAATTATTTTTTTAATAAAAAGCCCTACACTTACGTCACGAGCTAAGCTATATGTTTTCATGCCAGCAAACTTAGGGGGTAAATATTTTGTATAAAAACCCTAATGTGGGAAAGAGAGCATAACTTGCTGCCAACATCAAGGAAGCAAAATTGCCATGGTTTGTCATCACGTCACGTCATTCTGACATTTGCAATTGATAATTTGACACATGTAAATAATATAATAAATTTTTCATAATTTTACGCGGTTGAAGTCGCACGGAAACAGCTAGTCTGTTATAATAAAACAATTGTTCAAAAAACGTTCGAAGTGAATATGCAAATTGAAAATGTTTTCAAAATAGTATTATATGTGTATATTTTTCGATTTTATTTTGCTTTTAATTAAGTCTGAATTTTGCCATAAACACAAACTTTTTTATAATCTATTTTAAAAAAATTCTGTAATAATGAAAGTCAAGTAAAGAACGACCTTAACCTACGAACTATTTATTCCTCTGTTTTTTGCTATTTAAATGCATGTTTACGCTTCCGTACAAATGACCTCTACTATTACAGATTGACCTCTAAACGTAACATGTACCACGCCTTAGTGATCACCGCGTGATATTATCTTATTCGTGTATTTATTGATCTTGAGGTCAAATATTATAGTAAAAAGGTCAATGGCTTTACTGTATTTATGAAAATGAAAAGTATGGTCAAACGAAGATATCTGAAGCCGTAAGAGGAGCTGCCAATAACCTCAAGACTAAAAATTACTAGGCATTATAATCTGTGGTATTTTATGTCTGTTTGATTATCGCAATTTTGGCGCTGATTTATGATATGCTAGTCTTCGCTACTGATTCCATCATCGTCATCGTCAACAGCCTTTATCTGCCCACTGCTGGACATAGGCCTTCCCCAATGCCTTCCACAAAATGCGGTCCTCCGCCTTCCGCACCCAACGACTTCCCGCCGTGCGCACTAAGTTGTCGGTCCACCTGGAGGGAGGACGATTCCGCCAATGAGTTATTAAAAAAACAAAAGTAAGCAGCATACGTATTCTATCTTCTACGTATATGCCTTTCATCAAGATTTGTTTAGCAGTTAAGGCTACAAACTCTAACAAACATCCATCTAAACTTTCACATTTATAATATTAGTATGAAATAACATACATTGGAGACTCACCTCAAGTTGCATATATAGAATTGTTGCAGAATAAGATTTATCTAATCCTTTATTTTAAAATCTCACTAATATTATAAATGCGAAAGTTTAAATGGATGGATGTTAGAGTTTGTAGCCTAAACGGCTGAACAGGTCTGGAAGAACACATAGGCTACTTAGTTTTTTAATTCCACGCGGACGATGTCGCGGGCGAAAGCTAGTATTACATATATTCTTTCTACTAATATTATAAATGCCAAAGTTTAGATGGATGTTTGTTAGAGTTTGTAGCCTAAACTGCTGAACAGTACTCGATGTAATTTGGCATAGACATAGAGGATAGTTTGGAGCACATAGGCCATACATACATTGGATGTAGATAAGTTGGGCCCAGCTTATCAAAAATAAGCAGTGTCGAAAACAACACGGTGCAGAGGGTACCGGTGCGTTCAACTGGAGATCCCGGGACCCTCAATTCGCACCTGAGGACGGCCACCGAGGGGGTTTTTAGGGTGTAGAAATCTCACATAACCCTGTCTTTTATAAATGACAGGGTATCTTTCGAAGATTCCCCCCATTACCAAAAAAAAGGCCATACATACATTACAAAGTTAGTTAATAGTGGTAGTGCCCACTTTAACATCTTAGCACGAATAGGTCGGCACGCCCGGTGTAATACCACGACCACACAGAAGACAGGCGTGAAATGGAAGCAATTCCGTGTTTCGTCTGATGAGTGTGGTGCCGGAGGCCTAATTTAAGCCCCTTTCTCTTTACCACCCTTTCTTATAAGGAGAGGATGGGAAGGGGAAGTGAATTTGGCGGAAGAGGAGATACAAAGGAAGGGGAGATATTCTCTTCATGTGCGTCTCCTCCTCTGTTGGATAAGGGTAGGGAACGCATCTGCAATTGCGGATGTCTAGGGCAGTCGCTTCGCCATTTTGGCGGATTCAGGTGACCGCTTGCTCGTTTGCCACCTTATGTTATAAAAAAAAAAGTTATAAAATAAAACGAAGAGAAATATAAAATAAAATTTTAATATTCACGAAATCATTTACAGGAACAGTCATTTAATTTGAATATATAAGATACAATATTAAAAATTACATATAAAAAAATAATTTACAAACTAAGATACATTTATTTACTTAAATTATCAGTTCTTTCGTATATTTAACTCGATCTATACAAATCCCCACATTTATTGTAAATATATATTTATTACAAAATACAATTCCTCTCATAATAAATTATAATCATACATAATTTCATTCACAATACAATTTTGTATTTAAACAAAATTGTGTGTGATTGTCTAGGTTTATACCTAGCCGACATGCATGAAGTCTGAACTGAAAAAACACATACTGGCTGAATGTCTACTGCGACCTTTGCCTTTGCTCCTAAAAAAAAACAAAACGGCGGGAAAACATTAAATTAAAACAACGTGATATTAAAATTAAATAAATATTTGCAATAATAAATATATTTTAGAATGTCAACAATTTATTTTGTGATTATTATTGATGAAAAATTGCTTGAGGGCTTTATAACCTCAAAATTTATTTATACTCCACGAAGAGATGTAACATTTATTACATCTTAACAAAACTTGCTAAGAATAAAAATATTATTTAATTCGTAGAAATCTTTTTAGAAATCTCGTATTTATTTCGGTGGGATACAATAAACAATAAAGACTAGTGTAACCATGATGTTTTTAGGATTATCCCGTCAACGAAAAATACATAAAAAAATATATAAATTCAGATTATATAAAAAAATCTCTTTTAACGATCAAACAGTTTAACAATTACAGTACAAATGCTTCTTCCCTTTATTTCTCATATACGAACACGATCGTACCACTCGGCGTCCTCGTGTTTTTTTATCTGTGTATATAGTATTATCTATATGAAACAGTCTACTACCTGTCTGGTGATAAATACAGATTATAAAAATAAATTGACCCGATTTACGAAAAAAATGTATTAAAAAACCATCAGATGATATGTATTGTATTTTAAGTGAATTAAAAAGAAACAAGACGCTTATGTTATTCAAATTTCAAGCAGATTCAGTAATCCGTTTTGAAAGTGGTAATAAACATCCATCCATCTGTACATTCTCATTTATAATCTATACTATAAAGGGTAAAGATTTGTGTTTTTGTATGTATTGAAATAACTTAAAAACTACTGGGTCGATTTTAAAAATTCTTTCATCGTTAGAAAGGTAATTTATCTGCGAGTAACATAGGCCACATTATTATTTAGTTCACGCGGGCGAAGTCGCGAGCAAAAATCTTTGTGACCTTTTATAGCTGTTAAATAAAAGATATCTTGTATGAATACATTTATAATACATCAAACAATTGCTATTATAAATAACTGACCTCAATTAAAATGGCTGCCGATCAAAGAAACTTCAGTTCTTACGACCTAAGATAAGGTAAGGGGCGTAAGTACGTTCAACTCTCGTAGGTAAAAATGTAATATTGAAGTTACGGACGATAACCAGTAGTTTGTTAATTCAATTCAACAAAAATCACCTCAGATAAATAACGCCAAGCCTTAAAAAGCAAACATCGCTAGAATTTTCATATTTAAAAACAATATAGATTACTTGCTTTCGCCCGCGACACCGTCCGCGTGGAATTAAAAAAAAAAAACTAAGTAGCCTATGTGTTCTTCCAGACTATTCTCTACGTCTATGCCAAATTTCATTAAAATCCGTTCAGCAGTTTAGGCTACAAACTCTAACAAACATCCATCCATCTAAACTTTCGCATTTATAATATTAGTATGATTTAAAAGTGACATACATGTGAATAATTCATACATTCCTATTTAAAAGGTTGACAACCGCTGTTAATCCGTCAATTTAAGGGGTAGTCAACCTTTGGATTAGTCTATTCAAATAAAAATTTTATAGATTGATTTAGTTTATGACGATAATATTTTAAAGCTATCAAAATAGTGACGATTTACAGATTATATATTACTTTAATAGCATTAAAGTTATTTTATGATAAGTAACTAATTTCCCCGCCTAGTTATCATTAAATAATAATCTTTGCTATGTGCTATATTTTAGTGTTGTCAATAACAATCACAAAATATCGATAACAAGATAAAATTTTAAAACTTTTCGATAAAAAGCTTGATTTTAACACAACATAAACACTACTAACCATTTGTATCAACAAAAGTCTTAATTTTAACATATCAGCCATATATTTAAATAAATTAATTAGTTACACTCAATCGGTTATTGGTCGCTAGAGACCTTTATATTTAGTAGGAGAAGTATACTAAAGGACTCTTTAAGTGACCAAACTAAGCGTATAGTGTTTAGTCAGACTTCATGCAAGTTTACATAAATCTCCAACCGAACTTAACCCTTACTAAAGTGAAAGTATTGCGCTTTCTATTGGTATCTATGTTACCTATATAATAAAATAAATAGTATTGTCTATGCTTAAATCAGCGGAGTCTACGATACCAAAAGATTATCTCACTTAAAAATAACGTCTCATTAAAAATATCGACAATCGCGCAACACTATCACTTAAAAAAACATCGATAATTTGAAAAAAATAGATACCTCTATCTTCTGACAGTATGGCACAAGCATCACAGATCCCTTAAGGATTGATAGAACCAAAAAAAGAACCATTTGAATAGTTTTCATTCACTTTCACCAATAAGGAGTGTTACCATTATAGTCCGCTTTAACTGACCACGAATTTCCATAGTTAATTCTAGCACATGACACCGCTGGAGAACTTTTTGTAGATGACTTTTCTATCGTGTAATTCTTTCCATTATTATTGTCCCAGAATTCTTTACCTTGACAACGAAATCCGACACAGAAATCCAATCTTCTCGAATGTATAGGTAGTTGCAATTGAAATCCGAATGTATCGTACGTTGAAACTCCATTTTGTAACAAAGGACCTGATTCTATAAACGCACAATAAGTATCTTCCTTAGTACTCCATCCATCAGGAGTGGTTCTCACAAATACTTCTTTTAAGTAATCGAGATTCTTCACTTTAACAGTACCGTCTACCGCTAACTCGTTTTGTTTCACTATAACATTCTCTAATGACACACACTCTTCTGTGATCCGTCTTCTGAATTCCAAATAATCTGAAGCAGGTTGCACAAAGCGTGTCTCCCATAAATCTAGCACTGGTTTCACTTTTCTTTCAACTGGTGGACTAGCTACGACTTTGAATGCCCAGTACGGCGGCACATGTGATGGTTCTGTCATAAATTTGACATGCTCCAACGCAAACCCTCTATCATCAGCGAACACGACGTGTTTCTTCTTCTTTTCTGTTGATAATCGTATACACGATCTGGGAGCTGATTTTAAAGTTAACTGCACAGGTTTGAGCACAGACAGACACGGTGATGAATATCCTCTTGCGGTGATCTTAGTTTGTCTTCGTGGTGGCGTGTAGTCTGTTAGGAAACCAGCTGGCGGACTGTGGCCGTAGAATAATTGTTCCGACGCCAACATATCGATCGCGGCGCACATCTGGAAAGAGGAACGTGCTCTCAGTGATAATACAACATACGAACTAAACGGAATTTAAAGCGAGCTGGGTATTTATAGGCGCGCGGGCGCCGTCCACGCGTCTGATATCGCGCGGACTAGAGTGACAATGATAGTATCGAGACCAGTCTTTTTATACCATACCCAAGTAATTATGAGATGGCCCGGTTTAAATAAGATATCTTAATAAGTTAAAAGATCATGGAACTACTGATATTAACTGGAGTTAAATCTCTTTCCTGAGTTAACCTGTTGAATAGATTGACTGGAGCGGAAGCTTACTGAAGGAAGTTTATATTCTGCCTCTTTTAAATTTAAAAAGTTTTGGGAGCTTAGAATTCCTACTGGGGGATGATCTGATCATCGTGTCCCACGGGTTGTTTGAATTAAGCTACACTAAGATGACAAAGTAATCCTTTGTAGATGCTATGTTCAGCAATGAGCCAATTATAAAGATAACCCCGGTAAGAATGTATCCTTATATACATTTCGTTTTCACTGTTTACTGTGAATGCATTTTACTGTTGCATTTATTTTTAAATTGACATCTTGATTGTAATTGGAGCGAGGTCAATCGAGACGCTTTCTGCAAACTTCATATGTAAAAATAAATGTGTTGTTTGTTATTTTTTACTTCTACTAAACTTGTAACCATATCACAATAGCAATTGAGTTTACTTTAGCAGATGCTATTGTAATGTTGTAACAAGGATTTCTACTAGGGGAAAGAATCCTTTAATTTTGAATTCATCTGAATTGGTCAACTTGTCAAGATGATTTCATAACATGTTAAAAAAGGATATCTAGCCCGGTAAGAGGCGCTTTTGTCGCGGTTAGTTATGTTAGAAAACATACAAAGTAAATTTAGGCATAGAAAATGCTATCTTGATACTTCTTTACAAAGAGTAAGGTAGCGCTGGCTGCGCTGCTATAATTTAGTTTTAGTAAGTAAATCATCGGGTAAGATATCCTTATCGATTTATACCGTTCTATAGCATTAAATACTTCAAAAATATTTACATTATTTAACGTATGTATATAAATTATAGTTTAAATGATAATAATAAGAAATAACTTAACAAGTGGTAAACAGATAGCATAATTACAAACAATTACCGTAATCATTTAGTTATTATTTTAATGAGAGATAATTAAATGGCGTCCGACACAAAACAATAACAACAAAGCTGCATCAATATTATTCCCAATTCAGTACTTTTTTTTCACTTTTACACCGGCTTTAAAAAAATCCAAAACAAAACATTGAAGTTAACTAGCTAAATTATATAAACAATTACCTAAGTGCTTTGTTTTTATTAAATCTTTTAATAAACAATCGTATTACTTCATAATAATCTACGATAAAGTCACGCTTTAATATCAAAATCCATTAAAATTTTGACGTCTGTCATTTCGCATGCGCTGTCGAAGTGAAGTATCCGGTTGTAAGAAGTGTCACATAGTTTTGGTTTCACAAAATGCTATGTGACGCTAAAGTAGGAAAAGAAAAAAACAATAGTTTTCACTATTAAATTTATTTAAAATTAATGTAGTATATACCAGTAAACAACTTAAAACTAAGATTATTTTTTAAAAACTTTCACTTGATACAAGACTGTCCTACAAAATGTAAAATGATGGTTACTGCAAATTTCACGCGGCGATCACAAACTGTGCGCCGGCGCGCGCGTGATAGTCTGGCATTACCTGTTGCTAGCGGTTTACGCGGTGTGGTATAGACAGAGACCTTAGTATAGGATCTATCAGAAGAGACCCAGTTAAAGAATTAAATTACCTTCCCATTTAGAGATACAATACTAATTTACTTATTACTAAAATTGATATCATGTTTAGGACGCGCTTACCCTTTGGTATTGAATTATCAGTTCACCTTATACCCTAAGGGTGGAATAAAAATAACCCCGAATACTTCTATAATCAAGGAAAAATCACGAAAAAATTGTTTACAGACCGTATTTTTTATCATCTCTTTCATCGCAAATAAAATTGAACTTTACACCATTGAACTAAGATTTATTTTACTTTGCACGTATTCTGATCAAGAGTGAACATGAAAGATTTGTTAAGTAAAATTAAACCTTATTTCATTGGAAGAATGCTTAATTTTGCGATAAAAATCTTCTATGCTGGGCTCTGAACGGAACGTAAGGTTAATTCCGTCTCCATATAATGTACTATCGCGGAAATCAGCGGTATTCCATTTCAGGAACTACTTTGTTTATTGCAACGAAAACTTTGCCTCTTAGAAATAACTAATTATTTAGCAGTGAGTGCATGAAAGCATAATAAAAACATAGCCGTGTATCACTAATAGACTTTGTAGACATATTTATAAGTACATCTTTAACAGTGGTAGAGCCCGCTTTAACATCTTCGCACGAATGGGTCGGCTCGCCCGGTGAAATACCATGACCACACAGAAAACAGGCGTGAAGTTGAAGCAATTTCGCGTTTCGTCTGATAAGTGTGTTGCCGGAGGCCTAATTTTAGTCCCTTTTGTTAAGAGGAAAGGATGGAAAGGAAAAGTGGATATGACGGTGGAGGAGACGCATAGGAAGGGGAAATGTCCTCTTTATGTGCGTCTCCTCCTCCGTCAGATTAGTAGAGGCAACGCATCTACAATTGCGGATGTTTATGGGCAGCGGTTGCTTTCCATTTCGGTGGATTCAGGTTGCCGCTTGCTCGTTTGCTACCGTATATTATAAAAAAAGCTGCGTTTTTTTTGTGACTGAACGGCCTCTCTTCAAGGCATTTACAGATTGACCGGGCTTGAGGTGGTCGAGAGCAAGGCGCTTAGCCTAAACCTCGTTTATGAGTAGAACCCGAGGGCTCAGGATTCTCGACACGAGCCGTTACTTCGTTACCGGCTTGGGATATAAGCTGCGTTGTTTTGATTTTTGTTTCGCGTGTTTCAAAATGTTCAAATGATTGTAACTAAAGTGGAACACCACAAGTTTCCTTGATTGTATATATATAAAAAAATATATAAATGTCATTGTGTCGCACGCCCCAAGGTGCCCTGTGCAATAGAATAAATACTGTAGAGATATCTCTAAATAAATACATGTAAGTATCTAGGGTTGACAACTGTTCAGAAATAATATTGCATTTTTGTATGTAACTAAAAAACTATTGATCCAATTTTATAAATTCTTGAACCATTAAAATGCTACAATACTCTGACATAAGCTGTATTTACTAGCTGTTCCCGTGTTTACTTGTTTCTAATACTCAATTGCAAATGTCAAAATGACCTGACATGATGACAATCTTGCTTCCTTGATGTTGGCAGCAACTTACACTCTTTCCCACATTCCAAAATATTTACCCCCTAAGTTTAATAGCATGAAAATATGTAGCCTATAGTGTGTCGTAAGTTTAGGGTTTTTTATTAAAGAAAGAACTATTCAAAAATATACTGTAATTGCTGACATCTTAGGCAACAAAGAAGTGTGTGTTTACGCTTTATTATAATAGTATAGATATACACGATCAGTTTTAACTGAGAGTTTTATCTGAACGATCCGTTTGTTCAGATAAAACTGAGCGTTGTTCAGCCCTAGCCATTCTTAACTGTACAAACATTCTTATTTGTTAAACGCAAAGTCGAGTGTATATGCAATCATTTGCACTTATACAGTCAAGGAAAGTTATTCCCTACCCATGGGTAAATTACATGTTGAAATGTTGTCAGCAAAATTGTACATATATGAATGCTAAGTGGGAAGGGAATTTAGTTCTTAGTAGCACATATCTCAGAAAATACGTGATAATCATTGTCAGAGAAATGGAGGATTTACTACGAAATAGCTACATTGTTGTAGCGTTTGTATTGCTGGTTCTGTGAAAAATTTCTTCGGAGGCTATCACGAAAATTATGCGTGATATCAGCGAGAACGTATACAGAGAGATTTACATTTTGCCTACACACACAAATGTCGATTACGTTACTAATTGTCGAAAATTTAGCTTCTTTTGTTTACCTAATCAGTTAGGTAAGAAGATTTATTTCCCGTTTTCGTAACCGGTAGGGTGTGTATACATTTTTGATTTTCCGGGCCATCTATTATTATCATGTAAAGTATTACTTTTTCAACAAATTCCAAATAGTGACTGTCCGCTAGCGTGAAATTGGCATGATGAATTCGGGCATTACAACATAAATTGCGACCAAATTTAAAATGTCAATTAGATCGATATTAAATTTAGTCTTGAAAACGATAGCTGATTTTTAACGTGGGATTGATGGCATGAAACTATCAAAGTGTACCCATCCTAGCAGAAAAACTTAACCGGTAACGAAAACAGACAAAGAATCACCTAACTAGATAAATTTAGTTAGTTAAGAAATAGCCGAAAATTTTCGTGCTAGACCCAACCACGATAAAATTGACATACATTACGAAGCGTGAAAAACATTCCTGAGTCAGTCGTGTAAAAAACATCACAGATAATATTTCCAAATAAGGAGATAACATATATTCATAGATAAAATATAAAGTCAACGAACTTAACAGAATGTTATCTGTATTATATTTAAAGCAATGTCAAGGACGTATTGTTCTTATTTTTAATCTATGCCCGCCGCCATTATTGTTCGCGAAGGCGCCATTTTAACCTACAAATGATATTGACCCTTAACACTTAGGGAATAGAGATCAAATTAAAAGATTATATTATTTTGGCGACATTTATGTCGTAACAATGATTTTCGACTTTATTCCAATAGCAATAAATGATGAAATTACTTGTGTTGTTTAGCTTTTTTCCTGTTACTATGAAAGATTTGAATGCAATTTTAGTACATTCATTTAAACGTTATTTAATCATTTACTTAGGGATTAACGTCTTATTTAACAATTAATTAATGTTAACAGAATACAAAACTCTAAACATTTTGTTTTCGCTTACTTTTTTTTAAAATTTCGAATTAAAACGTCCAGTTTGTTTATGATTTGAAT